TTGTTTATTATTAGCAATGTTCTTCCGACGTCTAATTTCTTTTTAAAAAATGCGTTTCTAAAGTGCATAAACTTTTGGGATTGACTATATAGCCAATACATCCTTAAGTACTGTATTACTTCTATCTATGAAAAAATAGATTTTGTACTGTACATGCACCGAAAGGTTTACAATTGTGTATAAACAAATGATTGGTATATTTTTGTATGTACAAATCGAGGAAAGCAAATTAAAAGAATAGTAGTAGTAGTAGTAGTTACCAGGAAAAATACGTCTTAATAATTATACAATCGCAGTGACAATTTTATTTAATACAATAGGTACTGATTTAATTAAAAACTGTACATTTTAATTAATTAATTAGTTATATAGAACCTTCAGTTTCTCTTCCTATTTCCTCCATGATCGGGTTTATTGTAAGTCATCTTTTTACATGCAATTCGTGATTCGCTATTAACACCATTATCCAAAGAACACGTCAAGTACAAGAAAAAGAAAAATTTTCCTTTCTCACATGACATGATACATTCTACATTTTATTCATCGCTCGAATAAAATTTTCCAAATTCACTAATATGGATACACCACGTTTTATACAATTCATTATCGTAAACAGAACAGTACATCGTGCTCTCGATGTAATCATGCAACTTAATATTCTCATTGGCCATCAGCAAATTTAAATTAAATTAACGATTAACATTCGTGACTCGATTTTTCCTTTAAGTTAAGTCAATTGCACTATCTTTAATCTTTTTATTCTTTTTCTTCACGTTAGCCTTGACTTTTACTATCTTCCCCGTTTTGCCGCCGTTCGGGGGTCCAGACTTCTCTTTAAACGACTTCATCTGCAATTTCACTTCAGCCTTGGACAGTTTTTTGTTTTTCATAGTACTCTTAACCCCGAGCTTATCTTTCTTAATTTTTCCGGTGGTCTGGATGCCGGGTCTCACGCAAGACCCGGGTAACTTGTACTAGGCGGCCACTTTCACCTTCTTCTTGCGCTTCTTCTTCTTTTTGTCGTGGTGTTGTTCTTGTTTTTTCGCTATGCAGAAACGGCAATACCAATTCTCGGTATCTGCCGGAGGTATGTGCATTCCAACGCAGACCCTAAAACAATTTCGAAACGAACAAGAGTTGTACATGCGGTTACAAACAGCTTTTTCGATGTCTAAGTATCGTTTAAAACGGATGCTCACCAGTGATACCATGCATCGCAATCGTCGCATCCAACCATCGGCGAACCATCATCTTGGAGTCCGCAAGCAGGGCATATCCAAACTTGAAGTCCACCTTTATCCTGAAATACTCATATTACGATAAAAACTCGGCACTGCACATCAGAAATTTTCATGTTTGCCGTTCAGATACCCCAACCAATCTTCTATGTTTCAATATTGATATATTATTTTAATTTTCATTCTACGGTGTTTAAGATACTGCATATATGCATCATAATCGATTCCATAGTTGCTTAACAGATTTCTCAGTCAATTCATATCATATTTGATTTATGATTGAAATGAACAATGATAATGGTTTATGGCTGATGTGAATGTACGTAGGAAGGGAATTATGATTTATGATGTGTTTGTACAAAATGTTTAAACATGCTGTAAAGTTTGCAGTGAATGCACAAATTTTTCACTTGGCCCGCTAAATAAATAAAAATGTACATACTTTGTCGACAAGTGTATACAAGTCGTAAATATTTGCCGCTTGCTCGTTTCTGTTTCGCTTATGTTATAAAACTTGGAACTTCAGATTTTACTTCTTTTTTTTTCTTATCAAATAAACATAGTATCTCTCTCTCTCTCTCTCTCTCTCTCTCTCTTCGACCACGTAACATAAATGAAATCGTAGATGTGATTAAAAAATTAATAAACATTTACATAAGACGATGCAATGTATGAACATCAAGACCACAAGCATTAAATATTTCAATTCAATACTTATGCAACGACTGAGAAGATACTATTTATCATTTTTCATATCCGATTCATTTTGACAACTTATTATTACTGTAAAGTTGAGCGTGAATTATCATTATCATAATTTACTATGTACCGTACTAAATATCTATTATATACATACAAATCCATAACAGTCCATAATAACCCATACAGAAAAAATAGTATTCTATTTACTACAGTATTATTTGAGATTATCCATATAAGATATTCTCTAGTGATTCAAATATGTTTCAAATAATTGTTAATTTACAGAAAACCCTGTATAAAATTGAAGAACGATCCGAACGGTGTTTCCCGACGATCTTTCGTTCAGTTGTTTAGAATGGGGAATGTGAGTACTCACCACGGTCGTGGTTGGTGTCGGGGGCAGCGTGATCCTGCCATTCTCTTTCTCTTCCTTAGCATCATCCCTTTTAACAGCCGCGTCTGCTTTCGTCTCTGTGCCGTTAAAACCGTTTCGTTATAATCCCTAACTATCTATCTCTCTCCGTCACGGCATGCTTACATCGTTTTTTTATTTATCATAATAACAACATGCAATTTTGCATGCAAACCAGTCAATTTTCGCTCTATTCCATACAAATTTTTCACGTGTATTTCATGTTCTCCATTGATTTTTCCTATCCCATAAAATTACTTCGTATTTCCCTTTCTTCTGGATAGCTACATAATTTGTAACACGAATATTCAAAAACGAATGTATTGATTCGCATGGGAAATGATATAATTTTTATAATGCTCCAGAAAACACTTGGAACGTCTTTGACTATGAGAGAAATTCTGATATAGTATACTGTGTTCTATTATTTCAAAGAACTATGATTTGAAATTACTGTTCGGAAGTGTTTGGATGTTTTCACATTGCATGTCTTCTAATTAAATAATTATTTTTAAGTAGTTGTTGCCTCACATCGCCTTATATTTAAACTACGCAAAATTTGCCTTTGTGCATTTGCAGAGAAAAATGTCAAGAGAGATAGAAAAGAAACGAAGAGAAAAATCATTTTAAAACCCATTCGAAGAGCAGTAGAACATCGGAAAGGTCTTAGAACTTCTTCTTAATTAATTGAAGAAATAACATATCGTATGGTTTCTTCAATAACAATAATTACTCTGTAGCTGTAATTTAATGGTAGATTTTAATAGTAATTGTACTTTCCTTGGTTCATATCGTTATTTGAACTGGTGAATTAAGTTCTGAAATACCTTTCTTCTTTAAGACACAGTATCACAGTTCGTATAGTTCAGCGTGATAGAGTGTGCTAACAAACAATCGTAGATAAAGTAACAAACTAGTAATAGCAATAATAATCCACAACACGAAACAAATCTAATATTTATAATCTATATATTAAAAGTCGTTCTACCATAAATATAGCCAGTCAAAAGAAATGTTTCTACACTTTGTAACATTTCAATCCATGAAAAGAGCACGTCCAATTGATTTTTATGTAATCGTAATACATTTTTTTCGACTGACTGCAATTGTATGCATCACTCATAGTGAAAATCGCATAGTTATACAAAATATGCTAACTGTATTTCCACTATCAGTGACTGTGCTCCAAATCCAACTTTATATTCAACTATTTATACAACAAAGCAGGCCAAATGAGAAATTACACCGTCACCGCAAGTCATTAATGCAATAGATATAGTGAGAAAATGAAGTTTGGGAAAATTTAGATCGACGGGATACCATGGAAGACGATAAGGAATAATTTTGGGACAGCAATAAAACGATGAATGATGTTTATGGGACAAATTACTCTTTTTCCTTTTTTAAACTGACAGTATGGAACGACTGAATTATGTACATGATTTATATGATTTAAACTTATTGATGAAACTTTGAAATAATTGTCCAACGGTTATCTATCGTTTTGAATAATCCGAGTCAGGTATACCCATCACTTAAAATCAAATTATAAATGTATATCAATTTCGTTTCAATTCTAGTCTTTTAGAATATTTTCTTCTATGTAAGGGATTCCATGGATTTCCATATAAACTTTACCAATGCTATGTATTCCGTGAATAGAAACAAGGCTAATATAAAACAATAAATAACAAAAAGTATAAATCCTTAATTAACAGTTTTTAATGTAATAAGCAACATTAAATATAATATTTTTTCTTATACAATTAGTTAAAAATACACAATAACAGTTTCGAATATCTCAATTGAACAACTCGATAGATCTAAAATCTGATCGTTTAAATATAAAGTTTATAAAAAATAATAATGACTGGACAGACTTAGAGTTTATCAAACTTTTATATCACTGCTGCTTCGAATAGGGCACATATTAATATAATTTTTATATACGGAACACACTCTCTGGCCAAGTCTAAATGAAAAGACATGGGACGCCCCGTATACTTTCTATCATCGCAGAGTAAAGCGTACTTACAATGTAAGTGTGGCACGGTGGTTGCAGTGGCATCACGGGGTTCGGGAGCTTGGGAACTTGGGAATCGAATTGTGACGAGGGAGCTGCCGCTACCTCGCGTTGAGGCAAAGTTTTGAAGAGAGATTTCTTTGCTCGGGGCTGCGACACTGCCGCGTTACCGAGATTCGAAGAGAAAGTGTCTGAAGGAAAAGCGGGACTCCCGCTAACGTCTAATGCTCCCTCCTCTGTTCTCTTACTTGCCGACTTTTGTTTGGGCGGCCTGGTCACCAGCGCCGATATTTTCGCCAATTCTGGACTCGGTTCCCGTTTAGCTTCATCCTCGGGTTTTTTCAGCACCGTCTTAATCGTTCTACAACACATTTCCCTGATAATGATACAACCATTAATTAAAATTGTGCTTTCGGGTTAGTCGGTCTCTATATCAATGTAACTGAAAAAACCTTGCTAATAAAATTAAACATTAAGCATTGTCCATTTCTTTTCGAAGCGATGAAACGAACGAATTAATATAAATATTGGGCAATTGAAAGAGGCAATAATTTCAAAAATCAAAAATATAGCGCATTAAAAAGTAAAACGAAATAAAGACTCAGGACTCACATCTTTTTCATGGGAGCGGCGTCCGGAGTCGGTGGCCTCGGGGAAGCAGTCCCCAGCTTCAAAGTTATCTTCGGTACAGCCTCCGAATTTTTATCTTCCTTCTATAATAATAATTAATTGTTTAATCTGATTTAACCGCGCTTCACACACAGTAATGAGAGGAGAGATTTTTACCTCTTTATCTTTCCGCTTGTCTTTTTTCTCTTTCTTCTCTTTAATTTTATCTATCTTATCCTTTTTGTCTATCTTATCCTTTTTATCTAACTTCTCCTTCTTCTCCTTCAACTTCTCCCCTTTGTCTTTATGCTTCTCCTTCTTATCCTTTTTCTTTTTCAATTTATCTTTCTTCTCCTTCTTATGCTCCTTTGACTTCTGAAATATAAAATTATAAATATGTATTAATTCGATATGATTCAAAAGTGGAACGTAATTATTAAATCACACTTTGGTATTAAAAATCGCTATCATAGTGCAAAAAGTTAATTACCTTATCGTTCTTATCTTGTTTCTCGATCTTGGGAGCTTTCGTGGGTAATAATGTGGGCGCGATACCGGGTACTTGTTGTGCGGGGTACGTAATCGGTGCAACCAGTGCTGATGACGATGATGATGATGATGATGCAGCAGATGGTGCAATACACGTAGTAACTTCCTGAGGTGTTTCTTTCTCCTGTTTAACTGTTTTCCCCCGATCTTTATCCGGTTTATCGTGCCTCGCCGTCGACGAGGGTGTAGCACCGTCGAGGAGAGGTGCCACAGGCGGAAGTTTCTCGCGGTCGAGAGACTTGGGTTTCGGTAAACCAGGAAAATACTCGGGTCTCGGTGGTAAAGTTAAATACCGCGAAGGTAAGGGTAGATTGGCCATCGCTGGATGAGGGCCAGGGTGGCCACCCCTGGGCATCGGGATCGGAAACCTCGGGAATATCGGCGGTATGAGTCCCGGAGCAGGCGGGAACGTCTGGAAAAATGGGAACGGAAGGGCTGGCGGGAAGCTCGGTTCTTTGGTCATCGGCGGCTCGGGTGCTTGCGGCGTTTTCGGCCGATCGAGCAACTCCGGCTCGCTGGCCGCGTCATTAACAAGCTTCGTCTGGAAAAATGGTAACATCGGTGTCGTGTGGTGCTATGGGTAACGAAGCAATGTACGAGCCTTGTACTAGTAACTTCACGCAAGATTTCCAGATGACGATCTTTGAACGAAATTCCGATCTTCGACGGAGAGTCGTAATAATTAATTACATGCAAAGTCACTGGTACACGCCCATGCGTGCATTCGTGTTGTACGTGAAAAGAGGCACAACGTTTTCTATATAGATAACTTGGATTTTCTACTCACTTTCTTGGGACTGACGCAGTGCTTCGGACTCCTAGACTTCACTTCCCTCTTCTTGTTCACTTTCTCCTTCCTCTTCTTTTTATGATCCGTAGTAGTAGGCGTTGTAGGCATACTTAATTCCGGAGTTCTCGGTGTACTCGGAGTTCCCGGTGGCGACATATCATCGAATATGTAAACATCGGATCCTGGACTGTGCAAATCCATCGATTCACCATCTGGTTGGAGATGTACGTCCGGTGTGTGCGGAGCTCTCTTCTCCTCACGTTTATCGCTATCTACGTTACGAACAGCTTGCTTATCCATGTTCTCATCGATAATTAAACCTGGAGAGCTTTCCCTAGAATCGAGTTCCTTGTGTTTATGCTGTTCCGTTCCGTCCTTTTCTTTATCTTCCCGCGGTTTAGATATCTTCTTGAATATGTTCAGCTTCTGTTTATCCGGCTCCGATGGTAGTTTATCGATATTATCTTCTTTTCTCTCGTTAGAAGCTGGCACGCCGTCGGTCAGGTCGATCACCTTATCCATTTTCGTTTTCGGCTGGTTGTTCTTCTGCGATTTCGGACTGGCAACAGTCTTCGGCGATATTAGCTTTGGAGTAGAAGGCCTACTCGAAGAACCGGGTAGCACGGAACCTTGCAACTTCCCTCCCACAGACTTCAGAGGCTTCAACTTAGCCAACTCCTTCATACCAGCTAACTTCTTAATTTTATTATCGTCTATCTTGTCCGGTTTGAACAGCTCCTTCGCACGATTTTTCTTTTTATTCTCTTTATCCAGTTTGCCATCCTCCGAGCTCTTCTTCACGATCTTCTTCGTTTTCTTGTCGGACTTCAGCTCTGGCGGCACCATGGGATAAGAACTGGGTTGAGGCGAGTCGGGCCGGGCTTGATGCGGAGTTCTAGCTTCCGGTAGTTTTCCCTCGCGAGCAGGCGATAAAAAACCCGAAGTAGTCATCATGACACTGTGAATCTCGCGTAAAGGCCTACCCTCTTCCAACACCTTGACCCGCTTCACTATCGGGCTCTCGAACGAGATGGGATCACCAGGTCGTTTGAAAACCACTTGTGGCGACATTCTGTGAGGAGATACGTTCACACAACTGCTGCTCGACGTCCCATTACTTAACGTTAAATCAGATGATCCATTTAGAACACTTTCGGCCTTGTCAGCCACGTATTCTTCTATAAAATAACAATTAAACGATTTACTGTCCATTCATTATTAGTGTTCTTTAAGTTTATTACGTGCTTGTAATATATCTTACCTTCTGTGTCAGGAAACATGGCTGGCAAGTGCTCGTGTACATGTACAGGCCTTGTCACAACTTCCCTACTCCCAGGTTTTAAGAAATTCAAGTGATTCTCATGTCTAACTGGAAATTTGGGTATTCCTACTGCACACGGTACCGATTCCACGTTCTTGATATATTCTGCTAACTCTTGGATATCGATTTTCATATGCATGAAAGCTAGACCCAAATCATCCAGATTGGGCTCTGTCCTTCCCACTAAGAATTTCAGTCAAACGTTACAATGAGTACTTCAGGTCTTGTATCAGAATTCATTTCTAGTCAATGCTTACAGATTTCTGTATATTGATGAGTAAGCTTTGATATTCGTAGAAGATACTCCTGCATGAGATCAACCATGAACTCCAAAGGTGTGGAATTGATCGAGTGCCATCCTACCGTTTGGCAAATCTGAGCCACCACCAATCTTAGGACACTCCTACTGTATTCCGTTGACATTTTCAGCTACCAGAAGAGGATATCAATTTGCAACTATTGCAATCAAAGTACAACTATTTTCGTAACCTAAATACATATACGGATCATTTAATCAAATTAATTGCTGTTACTTACTAACGTAGAGGGAATCGCGCAGGCTTCCAATTCTTCTTATTTCTTAATAACTAAGACACAAACATGTTTCCTGTTCTGTTTTAACTTCATCCAACACTTCGTTGACAAGTCCAATTCATTTTAACAATTGATATATACGCACATACACACTTTACTCAGATGAAACATAACGAAATATTATATAAAATAATTTGAATAAATAGAAAATATGAACAAGCCTCCGCTGTCTTCACATTTTTCTTCGATCTCGACCCATTTCTAGCCAGTGACGAATATTATCCTCTATCCTACATACACCGTACGCCATAATGGCGGAAAGTCTCTTCGGTCATAGAAGTAAAAAAAAAATGTATATACGCAATTAACACTGTATCATTTTAATTCCATATCGTATGTAATGAATAATTCGATGAATTCTGACGTACAATATTATTGTTCATCGTTACTGTTACACTAAACGTTGCACGCACGCATTTATGTAGGTTTCGTAGCTCAAACATGATTTTATAGTATGTGAAGATTAACTGTGTGCTTATCAAAATTAATAAAATATTCACAGGAATGTTGTTTCACATTAAAATACGTTCCATACTTGTTTGACGTCGGACAATTCATTATACAGAAAACAAAAACTAACATGCTGTATTTATGTATACTCTATGTAATATGATATAGGCCATATTTCCAGTCCCTGTCTTGGACAGCTAGTAACAACGAAACTGAGTCAGCTACGTATAGCTATAGTATGCACGTCGCACGAATTATAGAAAATTGAAGGAAACAGAGATTTATAAAATTCGTTGATCAATCTTATATATTCAAGTCTCTCCGCAATCATTTACGGATCTTTAAGTACGTTAGAAGGCCTGAATTTAAATGCATATAAAATTATCTGAAATCATCGGAACACGGAACTGTCAAATAAAGAATCTGTCTTGAATCTTGATAGTTCGTGATGAGAACGAGAGGAAGTGGAAACAGAGACGGAAGCTGTCGGTCTCTTTTTCTTTCACTTGCACTAGTACTACTACTACTATACTATCAGTCCGTATCGTCCGTATCAGTCGCGATTCAGTAAAGCGAAGCGCGACGGTTGTTCCGTTAGCGAAAGCCGAGAAAATCGTTTGATACATTCAATTTTAAAAGGTATTTACACGATCGAAACTTGTCATTGATTGAAGGTGTAAGTGTGAAAACGTACAGTAAAATCGGTCGAGCGAAAGCGAGAGGAGATACGGAATTAACAGCGGGCATTCCTAAAATTGGGCGTGTGGCACCGCCTTTCTGGCTATTCGTCATTCTGCTAGGTTTACGTTCTATTTCACTCGTTTCACCCTTTCTACGCAACGAAATGCAATAGTATGTAAATACAAGTAATACGTCAGTTCTCATTGAAAAGTATATGCTTCCACGTATCCCGTTCCAACAATTCTTGCACTTCTACTTCGAAATCGAGGTGTATATATGACGGAGAAATTAAATACCATTCTGTTTACGAAGACGAAACTCAAGTCGCATTCATGTAATTGTAGAGAAGAAATTGTAATTGAACTTCGTAATATTTAAAAGTTACGATGATTTATTTCAGATCATTTTTATAGTAAGAAATACAAGTGATTGTTTAGTTCGTAGTGATGCTCATTTATAAGATAACTATATACATACATATATACATATATGAATGCATGTATCTGATTGTTTATCGTAATAAAATTTCTTTCACTACTATATACATGAATTTAATACAGAATCAATAAATATAATTAAATATTAAGATATAGCCAAGAATGAGATAAACAAAGTATAGATGCATATATTTTCTCTACTCTGTTTTTAGATTTCTCACGCTGACAACAGTAGTTTCACATCCTGCCTTTCTTTAATGTAATTGTTTTATAACGCGTGTTACTTTTCAAGAAAACACTTCAATTTATCTTAACAGTTCTTTTCACTTCCTTTTATGATAAAACTTGTTTATGTGATTCCAGAGGAGAGAACAAAATGTCAAAGAAGCCAGGTACCATTCAAGCAATGCATAAAGTTATCATGGTTGGAAGTGGAGGTGTTGGGAAGTCTGCACTCACGTTACAATTTATGTATGATGAGGTATATAAAACTTAGATGAACCACTCGACAAGAGATATTTCCTTGGGGAAAGAGAGATTCTATCGATGGGTTGTATAATGGGTTTTTCTTTTTGCATGGAAATCAGTTTGTCGAGGATTACGAACCTACGAAAGCAGATTCGTACAGAAAAAAGGTTGTGTTAGACGGCGAAGAAGTACAAATAGACATATTGGACACTGCTGGACAAGAGGATTATGCAGCGATTCGAGATAATTATTTCAGGAGCGGGGAAGGATTCCTATGTGTATTTTCTATAACGGAGGATGATAGTTTTCAAGCTACTCAAGAATTTAGGTAAATATCAAGGGCACGTGCTCGTGTGTGAACTTCGAGAAAAAATCATGTTCAAACTTTTACATTCAGAGAACAAATCCTGAGGGTAAAAAATGATGAAAACATTCCATTCCTATTAGTGGGAAATAAGAGTGATTTACAGGAGAAGAGGAAAGTCAGTTTAGCTGATGCCCAGGCAAGAGCACAACAGTGGGGAGTACCATATGTAGAAACAAGTGCGAAGACAAAGGAAAATGTTGATAAGGTAATTGAACACGATCAGCATCTACGATACATCTTTAAACGATCAAATAAATGTTCCTTAAGAAGTCAGTGTTCTTAGCAAAGCTCTTTTTTGTTACAATTACACTTACATTTAATCATACGTGACAGTATGCATCACTGATACCTCGTTACACTATCTTATGTCTATTATCCGATTTTTGAACACAGAAATTGCATGAGGCGTATTTAAATAGCTTAACTTGCGATGTATCACACGTTCTGTGTCCTTTGCTTAACAATGAATATTATTGTAGCTACTGCACATGTGATTCTTTGCAATAGAAACATATACATAGATTTGATATCACATATATAGCTGCGTGCTGCATATTTTTTAGTTTAATTTACGAAGCACCTTTTTCAAGCCTTAAAGCTTTGAGATGGCATCGATTGCACATTTCCAGGTATTTTTCGACTTGATGCGCGAGATAAGGTCGCGCAAGATCGAAGACAAATCGGCGAGCAACGGTCGTGGAAAGGACCGTGCCAAAAGGAAGAAAAAGAAGTGCACTATCCTATAGGTTCGCTGCTTTCTTTTTACACCGTTTTTAATCTTTCACAAATTGGAAGACTGGATGATGATCTAGAAATTTTATGTATTGCAGTATTCTTTTCACTTTTTTTACGAACTTTAAATAAATGTATGTACGTGCAAGTATCAGCAGGTAACAATTATAACTAGAAGTGTCGACCTTCTGCGAGAGTGTCTCTCAGGCACGTACAAAAATGAAATTCTTACATTTTAATTACATTCTGCTTTTCGTGTTGTTTCTCTGCTTATGCCTGAGATACCGCATATTGCATGTACTACATAAATTCATTATCACTAATTAAGAACGCCCAGAGCGACGATCATTTCCTTACATTTGTAAACCAATTCAAGAGCAAAGAAGAATGTGAATGAAATTTCCCAACTTTCACTGTTGCTATGCATGTCCATTTTAACGATACAATTAGACATTGTTATTTAATTTTTATTCATTCAACACGTCTTGTCGTCGTGCATTGATATCATTGGCGAAGTTCAAAGGAGAAACATGAATCATAAATTTACGATTCACTCTAATATTCATATAACTCAATCAAACTATTGCGATTATGATTTTTAAATACTACTAAGATCGAAATGTAAACCGAATATTGACAAATCTTTTATATTGCAGGTTTTCTTCGACTTGATGCGTGCAATAGCTGCGCGTAAGGCACAGGAGAATCAAGGAGATGGAAGCGAACGTAAGAGGAAAACAAATTGCTGCATATTGCTTTAACAAATATAAAACAACGCGTATAGCTTCTGTAACGAAACGTTCGACTCCTAATTGCAAAAGCCTGAGTAAGAGAGTGTACTTATATACATACATATACACAAACGTTACACGGAGATGCATACAAGCCGCGTACATGTACACTCGTACGTGAGGAAATTTTCTGATACTTTACAGTGAATTGAAACTCGAAATAAATGTAAAACAATTATAACCCGGGACACATAATTTACACGCTATTCAATGACTGTCATATTAAGAGTCGCAAACTTTGTACTCTTTTTCCATCAAAGTACTAACTGATTAATCTGTACTGCACTGGTGCATATAATTGTAATTTGTACGTCCTATTGTTAATTTATACGATAATGTCTATTATGAATCCCGAAAGAGTAAAAGTTTTCAATAGAGCACAAAGTTATATCATATGTTAACGAAATTATTTTTTAATTTTTCATTATTGTTAGAGTGCTGAAATATATACGTGTAATTATTTAATTAAATATCATAGAGACAGACTCTCTCCTCCCTGTGACGGGCGAGGTGATAATTTATGTGTAATATCTACATACATGTTCATACAGCATACATGTGCGTGTATGTATAGATTATACATTTGTACTGTGCACAATATTTTATGATCATTCAATAACGAAGAACGTAAATATCTGTTATATACATACTGTAATTAATTCTTTGCAAATAAAATTATTATGTCTTCATTCTCGTATTTTGTATTCATTTTTAAAACCTCAAACGATTTCAGCACTCTTACTTTAATCCATTATTTAGTGATAAGACAATCTCGATTTGGTTCGCGTACACAATCATGCAGGCAGGAAAATATGATTTTAACGTTTGATAAATGAGAAGGTTTCATTTTTAAAAGTAACGCAACAGCGACTGAAGTTTGATAAAAACGTTTGCAGCTATTATTATTCCTCTTTAAATTTTAGTATTCATAAATTATATTTTGTTACGTAATGTTAACTGATTTTCAAACTGGAAGGTCTTTCGATATATATTTATATATTTTGACGATTCCGCTGTCCCAGGATCTATGTCTTTCTCGTTACAATATCAAAATGGCAAATGGAAAATATGTCCATAAATTAATAGACTTTAATAGACTGAGATCATAACAATTAATGCTACTTATCAAAAAGACTTGAACCTCTATGAGGTGCATTTATTGTATGAAACAAAACTG